GTTTGTGTAAGACATAAACAAATTTCAGGGGGTTTTTTAAATAAATTACGAGTAGGGTGAAGCGTTTTTTGTTATTTCAACCTAAGTTCAGGGGGAGTTTTCATAATTTATCTCGAAGGTATTTACATATAGAAGTAATAAGAATAATTTGAGACTTCGTTTTATTTCATCATATTTTGTAACTGAATAAATATATTTTCCAGTTAATAATTAAATGAAGAATAATTGGTTAGGTTGGAGATACATGCACCCACTTTTACTTTTGTAGTAAAACTTTACAGCAGTAGGTGGGACGAGACGATTGCTCCCAGACCTACTAGTCAAACTTTAAAAGTTAATGGGGTCACAATTCTAATTATTAATGTTTTTAAAAAAAGATTTAAGGGTAAATTACGGCCGCCCTCCTAACTTATGGTAATTACGAAAATCCTCCTCATGTTTTGGGTAATTGTAGTATCGAACCGTCTCAGGTTCGAGAATCGCCGCATTCTATTCGTGAGGAAGAATTTCTTGGACAATACACGGCCGCGACCACTTTGATTTGCGCTTCCTTGGAAATAACCAAAGACGGGATTTGCACAATAATACTAATTGTCCTTTGTGCAATTCCTTTTTGATTTTCTCCTTACGACCACAATAGCTTGACTCATCCTTCTCTCGTGACTTGCTCGAGTCTTTGGGTGGTAACATCTTCCTTGCATTCTCATCGTCGTTAAGACTCAAACTCGTATGACTTTCTCTCGGATGAGTTGAAATTGAGTCCATGAAGTAAACTTGCTCCTTCCGATTTTCGTTTCCGCCATCATCTCCTGTACTCAAAGATGCTTTCTCATTGTCCAAGATCGAAACATCAAATTTTTCATTATTTGTAAAATCCATAAGCTCAATATCAAAACAATCATTATTATCACATGGATTTTTATTAACACTAAAAACATTGAATTTGATTGTTTGATCATGCACAGTCATTGTAAGATCACCACTAGCACAATCAATGAGAGTTTTCGACGTGGCTAAAAACGGTCTCCCTACGATAAGAGGTATCTCCCTATCCTCATCTATATCTAGTATCACGAAATCAACAGGGAAGATAAATTTATTGACTTTCACTAGCACATTCTCTAAAATACCTTTTGGGTAAACTAAAGATCTATCGGCTAATTGAAGAGTTATAGCCGTCGGTTCAATTTCTCCTAACCCAAGATTTTTAAAGGTTGAATAAGGCATAAGATTAATGCTAGCGCCTAAATCAATGAGCGATCTAAAATTTTTACCTCCTATAGTACAAGGAATAGTAAACTTACCTGGATCGCCGAGTTTTTGTGGAAGAGGCCGAGTAAGAATTGCACTAATTTGCTCTGTGAGTTGGATCATCTCGTTCCCTTGCAATTTCTTACTTTTTTTCACGAGGTCCTTGAGGAACTTCACCCACTTTGGCATCTTTTGAAGTGCTTCAATGAAAGGAATATTTATGCGAATTTCCTTCAACTTGTCCAAAAATCTTTGATATTCAACATCGAGCTTCTTCTTTACAAATTTTTGAGGATAAGGAATTGGAGGGACTTGTGAAGGCACCGTTGATGGTGGCTCTTCATGAGTTGATTCTTTTTCCTCATTCACTTTCGGCTTCTCGATTACCGTGGTTCTCTTCTCTTTTTGTGGGGCTTCCTCCAATTTCTTGCCATTCTTCAAGGTGACTGCTTGGCACGTCTCGACCTCGATCTTTTTCGTTAGCAATCTTTGTGGATATGGGATTGGTTCGACCCATTCGGCTACAGTGACTTGCGGCTTGATTTGAATTTCTTCCCTTTTTTCGCTCGTGACATCGATAGCTTGGCACGTCTCGAACTTTTGATTTCGAGGATCTTCCGTATTCGATGGCAATGCTCCCGGCGGGCGGTTCTCTTGCTTCAAAGCAAATTGAGCGAATTGATTTTCTAAATTCTGCAGCGAAGCTTGGGTAGCAGTCATGAATTGGGCCAATATCTCCTCCGTGCTTGATTTTTGGGCCGGTGTATTGTTGCCTTGATAGCTTTGTTGAGGAGGAGCTTGATTTTGGAATTTACCTTGAGGTCTTTGATACCCTTGGCCTTGTTGATTTCCTCCATATTGCCCTTGTGATCTCCACCCTTGATTTTGGAATTGGCGAGGTGCATTGTTGACGTAGTTGAGCGACTCCGCATCTTGTTGGCATTGGAGCGTGTAGTGATTTCCACCGCAAATTTCACAACATGGAGACTCAACGGCTTGGACTTGTTGTGGTGGACTTGCTTTGATGTGCTGCAGAAGGAGTTGATTTTGTTGAGCAATTTGGGTCACTTGAGCTTGAAGGGCCGTAATTGCATCTAACTCCAACACTCCGGGAACTTTCTTGGCTCCACTAACCGCCCTCTCGCTCGACTTGGCAAACCGATTTTGTGCAATTTGATCCAACATGATGAAAGCATCCGGTATCGATTGACTCATAAAATTTAACCGGTTGATGCATCTAAGCCCGTCCCGGGACAACCGGCAATGACGACGAGCTA